GAAGGTCGTTTTCTATGCTTAAGACTTTGGATTTGTTTACATCTACTTCTTTTTCAATTTTGTCTAACCGATTAGTGAGTATTTTTAAATTAGCACTAATTATATCAGTAAAGTTTTTCTCTTGATCTTTTAACAGGCGTTCTGTTTCTTTTAAAATACTCTTTTTTTGTTCTTCGAGTTTGTTTGTAATTAACTTCTCGATATTTTTTAATGTAATTTCCATTATTTTTAAAATTAACTTTAAAACTTATAAGTACAAATATATAATGTATTATTGTTAAGGTTCTTTATTCGTTTTTCTTTTATGATTGTTTCGATAACCACGGATTAAAAAAAAGTTGATTGAATACTCAATTAGGCAGCCATCTTTGTTCGCCGTATGTCGCCGTATGTAATCAATTAGTTCATCGCCGTACGTAATCAATTAGTTCATTGTTGAGTATATAAATAAGAGCTGCAATGTAAATAATCTACGGCAACAAAATAAAAATAAAATTAATTCCGTTTAAGAAGTTTTTCCCGTATTTGCCAATTTTTGCATTTATAATGCGGTGGTTGAAAATTTTTCTTATGTGTATTGTATTAACTCAAGTAAATGAGTTTGTGTTTTGTAAGTTAGCTTTTTATATGCTACTTTATACATAATTTTTTATATATTTTATACAGAGCTTTTTATATTATGTAAAGTGCTAAAATCTAAATCTGTTAAAAATAAATTCTTTGGTATAGCAAGATTAAAGTCATGCAGTTTGGTATAGCAAGATTAAAGTCATGCAAATGTCACAATAACAGTGAGGTTGTTTTTAGTTGGTAATTGTTAGAATAAGAATGTTGCAATAGTCACATTTATTGAAACCGATGAATTATCTGTTGTTCCCATTGACTGGCTGCATTACGGTGACGAAAAATGCATCTTTTGACGGCCATTGTATAACAGTGACCTTAAAATAAATAAGCCCGTAAAATCTGCTAGACCACCTAAATCTAGCTGAAAGCGGTTTTTTGTTAGAGTAGTGCATTTTTACAGTAAGCATATTTTACAACAGAATCTGAAGTTGACACAAAAAAAATGAAAGTGAAAAGGTAAATTTTTTATTCCGACTTTAGTACTTTATTATTTAAGTTAATTGTTAACGTGATGTTATGCTATGTTATGATGTTCATTCCATCTTTCATTAAAATAAAACTTGTTTCTAAAATAAAATGAAATGAAAATCAATTTAGATCAAATCAGATTCAATTTATGCCAAATCTGAAAAAGAAAAGTTATCTGTTTTGATTTCAAACTCAAACCTGCAGTTTCTTGCTCCTCCTCATCCTCAGTTGTAGTCCGGTTAGGTTTTTGAAATTTCGAAAAAATTTATTAATCATTGTATCATATTTCGTTTTGAAGAACATTTGATTTTAGTAATATAATTATAATGTATTATTTTTTTAACTTCAAAATGGACCTAAATCTATTAAATCTACTATCTGCTCTCCTTTGTCATTATCTGTACATGATATATCTAATACTTTTAGTAAAGAAGGTTAATTAACAGTTTTTTTAAATTATCCTATTGTTACATTATATAAACACGACTACAATATTATAAATATATTTTTACCTTTATAAAAGTTTAAACAACGTGTTTGAAAACTGTGTGTGTTTGTGTAAATGTGTGATTGTAAAAATTTACTGAATCAAATTATGTTATATATAAAAATACTTTGCGATTATAGATAACCAAACTGCACTACTAACACCAATGCTTGCTAAAGCATTGCAAGTGAACCAATTATCATCTGATTTTGTTATTTGTATCAGTGTGGGGGAACATTCAGCTACATTATATTTCTATACTATAAACAGCCTCATTATATTTTTCTTGTTGATTCAGATGTTTCTGAATCAACAAGAAATATAATGAAGCAGTTGATGACAAATAACTCTACAGCAGCTTGTAGTTGGAGAGGAAAAGGGGGGGAAATATGCTTTTAGCAATAGCAAATTTTTTCCAAATTATAAATGCGTTTTTTGTTTGTTTTTTAAACCAGGAATCAGCAGCATTTGGCTTGCAAGCAGCATGCAGTTTTTTTTATTCAAATTGTTTAGCTCTTCAGCCTGTCCAACTATTATATTTAAATGATATTGAATACCATTGAATAATAATTGTCATCTAACCAATATTTGATTATACTTAGATGCTGTTCGATGTAATCAGTCAACATGCCGTGGTACGGATGCCGATGTAGCGAGTGCCATTAAAACATGGTTTTGCTTTGCAAAAGATCGTGATAAAGGGACGAGGAGAAAAGAAGCAACGTTACAAATGTTTATGTATTATTATTTCAATAATAAATAAATTTTATCTTGAAATCCGAAAATTTGTTAGAACTTTATCAACTTAAAAGTAGCGCCAACCTGTAAAACCTATTAAGATACCAACGTTGGTTTGATGAGTGTTAAATTATCCCAGCTAACACACTATATATATATAAATATATATATTTTTTTAAACATCTTCGCTTCCAACAAGGCTGCAAGCAACCACTAATTAGTGTTGAAAGTTACTGGAAGAGAAAAGATGAAGATTGTAGAGCAAGATAACGATTGACAGACGACTTAAAAGATTGCAAATTATATGAATCAGGAAAGCAAGATGAAGGAAGCGAATTCCAAAGAACTGATGTTCGAGAAAAAAAACTAGACAAATAAGAGTTTTTGGAGCACTTAGGAACAGTAACAGAAAAAGGATGAGACTTAATTGAATGACGAGTAACACGAGAATGAATTTTAGTAGATGGCACAAGAGACGCTAGCTCTTTAGAGCAGTGCCCATTATATTATTTCTAGAAAAAAGAAAGACAAGCAACTTTACGACGATGTGACAGAGGTTGAAGGTTGGCTGCAAGAGCAGGTCCAACTATGTTTACAATGCGTTTTTGCACCTTGTCTAAAAAAGAAAAAGCATCATTAGAAGATCCGCCCCAGATATGGCAACAGTATTCCATACAAGGCCGGATTTGAGATTTATAGAGATAGAAAATAGAATCCGGAGTAAGATAGTGTCGAGCTCGATAAAGAGAAGCAACTTTAGCAGATGCTAATTTTGCAACGGATTTGATACAAGGTTTCCAAGATAGATCAGAAGGAAGAGTTAATCCTAGAAGATGGTGGGTAGAAAACTCATCGAGTACATTACTGTTCATAAATATAGGAAGGTCTAAATTATTGCGATAACGATTGGCTGAAAAAAATTGAATTTTATCTGAATTAAAGTTCACCAGCCACTGTGAGCCCCATACTGTAGCAGAAGTGAAATCCTTTTCAAGCTCAGATGCCCCCTGCAAGCAATCAGAGGAAGTTGGCTTCTTATCGTGACAAGAATAAATGGTAGTATCTTCAGCGAACAATACCACCTTAGATGTGAGAATATCTGGAAGATCGTTAATGTAAATTAAAAAGAGTATAGGGCAAAAGATTGAACCTTGAGGAACCCCTGAGGTTACAGACTAGGAAAAAGAGTACATTACCGTTAAAAAAAAGGAAGAAGAGTACATTACCGAAGAGTGCTGTCTATCAAGGACAACTTTTATACTACGATTAGAAAAGAAGGATTCAATAATCTTAAAGTTGTTTCCATATTACGCTAACGTTGAAAAAACGTCGACTAAAAAACTAGCTTGGTAGCACTTGGTTCGGCTAACGTTGCTCCTACAACATAACAGCGCCTTCAACATAACAAAATGGGCCAACGTATTGCCAAAAACATTAAGTATAAACAATGCAAACATAATCTCAATGGACAACCGATCATACGCCAACACAACACCAACCTTGTCATTTTGTTAGGCCAACATCGCCCTAACAACCTTATTCTAATGGTACGCCAATGTAAACTAACATAGTATAAAATGAATTATGCCTATGTGTCGATATCTGTGGCAATTTATTTGCCCAACTTTGCACCAACAATTTAAAACAAAGAGTAAGCCAACCTTTTGCCAACAACGTCAGTAACAGATCCAGGTTTTTTTGGTGATTGAGACTTCCAAACATGAAGCAAATTCGAAACATTTGCATGTTTATAATTATGTCAAATAATGAGACTTTACAAAAAAATAGCGAAGATTGGAGGCTAAGAACAAAAAAGCCTTTGACTTCATCCCCCACACTCATACATGAAGGGCAATAAGTTGATAAATTTTTTTTTTTACTATTCTTTATTAGAACTATATTCATCGATAAATTTTAAGTTTCATAGTATCTCTCAGCGTTCAAAAATTTTGACCATTTAAAATTTGTAACCCCCTCAAGTTGAGGGGATTTTAAACAATTAAAGATAATCTTTCAAACAATTACAGCACTTTCTTTTTACGTCCTTTTCAAGCAATACCAGTTGTAATTCCATTTAAGCGATGTTTTTTCATAATGTTGCTAACTAATTGAAAAGACATTCCAGCCTGAAGATTTTTATTTGTATTTGTGCAATATTGCTCAATTTATGAAATATTGCACAAATACATGAAAACATCTTAATAAAAATATTTTTACTTTGATCTACATTTAAAACTTTTACAGTTTTCAAAAAATACGAGTAAACGCAGAAGTTAAAAAGAAAAGAATGAAAATAATTGCTTGCGTCGCTTATTTTTTTTTGTCCGCTGTATAAGCTTTTTTTGTATTTAAGCGTTTATGTTTTAAAAAGCTAAAGGAAATCATTGGCTTAATACTGATTTTGTTCATACCATGCCTAAATTGTATAAACAAAATAGTTTAGTAACATTTGTTTATACCACGCATAAATGATTTTTATACCAAACAATTCACATTAGCCAACAAAAAAAAATTTTTACTCATAAGAGTATTTTTTTTTTTTGAATAGTCTTCGCAATTTTTTTAAGAAGCAGATATTTTTTAAGAAGCAGGTATTTTTTGAAAAGATATAATTTAATGATAATAGCATTTTTTTTTTTTTATTCAAGTATTAACGGAAAATTTGTTTGTACAAATTTGTATTTGGTAGAAAGAAAACTTTATTATTAAAAACGTATTAGAAACAAATTTAACTTGTAAACTTTACGGTACCATTGCTATTGTTTATCAAAACAAATGCAGTTTGAAATGGCTAAAACTCATCTTCACTTTTTGAGGACTATAAAATCCCATTAAAGGTATTTGGTATTCAATATTTCAAAACCACATTTAACGGTTCTTCGTATTTAATATATTAAAATGGTTACGCTTTAACTTTTTTTTTTTTTTTTTACGCGGACGATCTTTTAAACAAAATCTGCATATGTTTATGGTTGATTTATCTATCAAAAATAGTGAAGCAAATTCACAAGAAGTCTTTCTTTATTTTAAAAACTTTATTCCTTTTTAACGTATGTGGATTGGTGTAACCATGTAATGAATGATTAAATTAATAAACTTCAGTTTAAACCAAAAATTAAATTACAGGAATTCATAATGTTAAATTTGTTAATAATGATAAATTTTTCCAATATGGCTCTATTCGGTTGCTAAAGAAATTTTCGCGCTTGTATTTAGTAAACTCTAACTGTACTTTTTGTATGGTTCTCGTCTGATATTTGAAGATGGACTTTTTAGAATTAAAGAAACAGTTTTTCAGATGGATGACACTAGTTTTCTTTGTTTAAATTTGTTTTTATTTTTAAACATTGGATGAGGTCCCCTGGTTTCGAGACTTTCTAACCCTAAGCTTAATAAACGAATTTTATAAGAAGGTTTTTATAAGTATGTTAATACTATTATAAAAAGAATTCTTTAGAATTAATTACTTCTGCTTTTTTTTTTAAACATACATTTTAAGGGCGATTTATTATTATTAATTTTTTGAGATTACTTATTTTTATAGTTTTTTAAGAGAAACTTATTTTCATGTCTGCATTTAGAAATCAATTTAAATTTTTTTGTTTGATAAGCATTCTTGGTTTTCATATGATAATGGTTACTTGGTTTGCATGTGTATTGTTTCAAATATTATTATATACAGGTCCTTTTTTACGGATGGAACAATTTCATATAAAATTATCAGTTTTTTTATATTTAAGTAAAAAAATTGATGATAAATTTTTTTTAAACATTTATCTAATTTATGATCCTTAAACTAACATCATTTTATGGTTGTTTTATTTGTTAAATAGCAAAGATGAACGAGCGAAACCCACTTGAAAAGATTTTTGTATTAAAGTACTTGAAAAAACATCAAAACTCAGTTAAAAAGAGATGTAAAAAATGTTTGTCTGTTATTGCTTGTGACTTTTCCTACATTTTCAGTGGTGTAATTTGCCATACAAACTAATTTTTCATTGCATCAAAAGTAGCATCTCCTGGCGGAAAAATCCAACTCCACCAAACTCATGACAAATCTGTTTCAATAAAACAAGAATTATTTCATTTTTATTATGCTATTCATTCTGAGCTTTAAAATTTTTTTTTTTTTTTCTCTATGGCATATCTGTAGCTCACTTTCCAAAATCCTTTAGCAACTAAAAAAAATGCTTGATATTTACAGAATTTCAAACAATGGAATGAAATTTTTTTAATTTTTTGTTAACCAAACTAGTACATTAAACATATTTTTTGTCACTCTTTGAAAATGCCAGATACCTAAAAATTTATTCCACCAAAAGTCCAGTTCTCAAAAATATGGATTTTATATGGAATAACCGTAATCTATTACAATAAATTTTATACAGTTTTGTACAGCTCATTTAAAATAATTTCACCAATAAAAATAAGTTTTTATTTTGTGAAGAGGCGCAAAAAACAGTGTTAAAAGCCTTTTTTCAGACGTCGATAGTATTGATAGATTTTGTAGTTAAGTGCAAGTGTGCATTTTGTTAGTGATTGGACCTTCTTGCAGGAGTATACAGTATGTAGTAGGATATCCTTTTCCTTCATGAACCGGTGAAATATGTTGTTCTTTGTGAGACCTCTAATATTAAATATATCATTAATTGGTTTTTTAAAATGAATAAAACAATAAACCCATGAATATCTATTAAACATCTAAACAACATTTAGACATAACGTAAAATTCAATATAACGTGTACAGCAACCCTCCATTACGTGTTTTCGACGTATATTATAGGTTTATTAAACGCATAAAAGCGTTTATATTTAAACGTACATAATACGTTTCAATTTCGACCGTTATTAAAATTTTTGAAAAAGTCTTATTCATAATATTAATTATATAAGGATATATATCAGTGTAACTAAACGTATATAATAATATAATAATAAACTAATAGTATATACGCACACGATTATAAAATACGTATATAATTATATATTGTTAAAATATTATCTTTTTATCGTTTAATCTCCTCAAGGGTCGTCCACAAATTATGCCACGCAATTATTGACTGTTTTTGACGCTCTTTTCCAAAAGCGTGACGTAATTTATGGACGACCTTCAGGCATTCGACGTGCAAAGATTTAATAATGGATACAACGGATTTATTTACAATTGGGCCAACCGTTCCACTTCTAAGTCACACAAATATAACCTCTCAAGAAGCACACATTTTAAAAGTTTCAAAAACAGATAAAAGTGGAAATGAAAAACAAAAAATAAATTGTATTAAATTATAAATATAATAACGAAAAGTAAATTAAAAGCAATGTATATAACAAAGAATAAAAATTGAAAAAAAAAACATTAAACAAACAAAACAACTAAAAGCAAGTTAAAGAAAAAATGTTTGTAATAAATTCAAAAATAAAAAATTTAGGATAAACAAAATAGGCAATTTTTAGGCTTTATTGATTTATGTTGTTTGCATTGTTTGCAATGTCGTGCATTTTTGTGCATTTCTATGTTTTATTTATACTGTGGTGTAGTTTTGTGTATCTTTTATATTGAGGTAGTTATTTTATAGTTAAATAAATGGATAAAAAAAACATGATAATAATTATAAAACACAAAAAGAGTCCAAGGTTTAACGCCGGCATCAGCGGAAAAAAAAGGCCTAAAATTGGTAAAGGAAGAAGGTCTAATGTTCATAGTTAAATGCTCTTTAAATGCGGTGAATATTGAGTGAGTTTTGAATATTGAAATGGTAGGTAGAACGAGATGTGTAAGTTTATATTTTATTTCCCGCTCTATTGCTTGTATTATTTTTATAGATGGAGCAAAATTACTGGATCCATTCTCTTTCTGTAGTGTTTCTCATACTGTTTTTGAAGTAAACTCCCCTGTAGAATTTTTCATGTACATTTGTATCAACGTTGCTCTTTGAGATAAAGAATATAGTTTTTTGGTTAATCTCTAAAACCTGATAGATGGATTTTTTAGGGGGAATAGATGTTAATGCTTTGTTGTGATTGCAGTTTTGGTTTTGTGTGTTTATTAGATGTTTCCGTTGGGGTGGTAATGAATTTATTAAATTTGTCAGAAGGTGTCATTTTATTCTGATATGTTAACTCTTCAGAAATTTACTGACAAATTTTATTTGCGGATTCTATATTTAGTTTTAGTGTTTTGTTTTTTTCGCGTGTACATGGGTTATAGAATATTGGCTACTTTAGTATTTCCTCTTTGGTGAATTTCTTGTGGTTGTTGATTGTTTTATGGTAGAATGTGGGAAAAGTTTCCAGAGATTTTGTTCAGTGCGTAGTTAAAAAAATGAGATAGACCTGATTAGCATTATAACGCTGTGTTTTTCGATGCACCATTTTTATTTTCGTTGAAATATTTATTGATCCAACTATATTCAATGATCCAACTTGTAAGATTGAAGTTTTTTATTTATGTTACACAATTGATGTACCAATTAATGGCTTGAAATTCTCCAAAAAAAGGCTTATTTATTAAAATTAAAGTCTAAAAATTTATAATGATGTTGCATTTGCTGTTCGAAACATTTCGTCAGCATCTTTTATTTTATCTTTTAATTTTGTCTTGTATTTAGCCGGAGAAACGTCTAAATACAAGCGTCTCCTCTCCTACTATTTTCTGATATCTGATCGTGATATACTTAAAATTGCTAAAATAATTTATAAAAAAATATAAGAAAAAGTTTGGAACAGACTTTCTACAACTTAGTCTTCTAAAGCCGAATTCTTGTTTGACTGATATAGTTTGACCAAAATCAAGCAACATTCTAAGTTTATTTGAATTTTCAGAAAAAAGGTAATGTTTGGTTAGCCCGATCCCCAAATTTTGGAAAGCAAACACAATCTTTCAACGCGTGTTTAAGGATACTAAATCATTGAAACCTGTAAATGATACAACAGAACGAGTTGTCAAACTAATTTGAGACAAAACCTATTATCAATGATGAGGAGCAGAAAGGATTCCTTTTACCTGCTGTATAACACCACCAAAAAGTTCAAAAATTCACTTTTTGGAAATTTATATTTTATTACTTGTACCTTTCAAGTATTACTGTTTTGATGTCATAATTTTTATTTAAATTTTAAAAATAATTCAAATTTCATAGTATTTAGTTCTAGCTTAGTTCCAGTTAGCATTAATAATATCAATTTACACCAAAAAAAACTCTCTTTTTGAAAATTTAAACTTGGTTGTTAGTCATAAATTAAGTTTTTATAAATTAAATTTTAGATCATTTATCAAGTAACCTTATTCGTTTTAATTAAAAATTATAATTCTAAAAATACAATATTTTTGCCGCAAAAATACTTAGTAAGTGTATTATGGGAAAAATACTTCATAATTGTATTATGGGTGTATTATGGCGCAAAAATACTTCATAATTGTATTATGGGTGTATTATGGCGCAAAAATACTTCATAAGTGTATTATGGGTGGAGTGTAGTAATAAGGTGTAGTAAAGTTTTATTTAGTTTTAGTTTCAATTTTTTTTTTAAATTTTCATGTTTTTTAGAAAGAACACCCCCCCCCCCCCACATTTAGATGAGTAATGGTAATCACCCAGAAATTTTGGCATATATAAATACACACATGGACTGTTTTTGATAAATATTTAACAAAAAAAAGTTATTATCATAATGTTTTAAAATTTAAACAAAAGGTTTAAATAAAAAAAAATATCAAAAACCTAGACGAATATATCTGTTACTAGTCTAGACGAATATATTATTTATCATACATTAATTTATATTAAAGACAATACTGATAGTGCTCGATTTATTATAGGAATTTTTGGTCCAATGACCAGGGCCCCGCATATAAGGAAACGTCGCATATTATAAAGATAAAAATTTTTCAATTCAACGTTCATTGATAATTAATGTCTAAATTATAGCTCCTTATTTAATAAACAATAACCCATTTTTTGAAAATAAAAATTATAAATAAAACATTTATATTAAAAAATCGGTAGTTATGAAACAAAACAGGTTTACAGAATTTTTTTTTTTGCTCGATCTTATTAATTTGGATGACTATGTAAATAGCAAGTCTTTTTACAACGGAAAAACAAAAAAAAAATAAGTAATTAAAAGCAAAAATAAAAAATTATAAAGTTCGATTATAAAATATTTATAAAGTTCGATTATAAAATATTTATAAAGTTCGGTTAAAAAATATTTATAAAGTTCGATTATAAAATATTTATAAAGTTCGATTATAAAGTATTTATAAAGTTCGATTATAAAATATTTATAAAGTTCGATTATAAAATATTTATAAAGTTCGATTATAAGATATTTATAAAGTTCGAATATAAAATAATTTGTAAGTTTTAATTCAGAAGCTAAAACTAGTTTGACTAAGAAGTTAATTGACGATGCTAAAGTTTTTTGTTTTTAGATTTTTTCTGTAAATAATGTTTTTTGTTTGTCTAGTATCAAAATTTAGTATCTGTTGTCAATTTTATGTATTCATATTTATATTTTATTGTGCTTGATTTTTTAAAAAATATAAAAAAAAGGGGGCAGAGAAAGCTAGCACAAAGAAAGAAAAAAACATTTGGTAGCTCGTTCGAGAACTCAAAATATACAGCTAACTACCTAGACTGTGGAAATGCAGCTCAAATGTCACCTTGTGGCATTTGAGCGGAATTTGGATTTCCAGAGTTTTATACAGCTAAGAAAACTAAGTGTTTTTTTATTGCAACACGATTACTCAAAAGTTTGCTATCCGAGGTTAACGAGCATCTGCCTTGGGTTTTGGGTAATGGGGACTTAATATTGTTTTTTCCATCACCTAGAGGAATTTCCTTCAACACAACTAGAGAGCCTAAGTGCCTAAATACAGTTTTTTTATAGAATTTGTTTAACTTCAAAAGCAGAATGTATGGATAATAAATATTATATTTAATTTAATTCAAGATAATGGAAAGTAACAGAGGCAGTAAACATGAAAAAAGTTGAACCAAGAAAACATTTTTTCCCCAAGGTTTAAGTTTTGAAAACTAAGAAATAACTTAAAGTATTTAAGACTTACGACTTTATATGATGCAATTTTTGTTTTAGATAAAATGTACAAACTGACACTTACAAAACTACTGATAGTTGTTGCTTTATTGCACTTCACAATGGCTAAAAAACGGAGCTCAGTCGCAAAAGCTTTTCAAGCTAATATGGGAAAAATAGGACAGGTTTTTTTTTAATAACTTTTTTAAAAAATCATCAAAAGTTTATCTCGTACTACGTTTTGTACTTATGTATTTATTATATTGCAACAATCATTAACGTTTTTAAAATTAATGCTCTTTTAAGAATGCAAAAAAATTTGTCAGTAATGTTGGTGACAAAGCTGATAACTTTATGAAAAAAGTAAATGAATTTATCATACCATCGGATGAAAATGCTCCGGCAATAGCAGGTAAGTTTAAAAAAAATCTATTCAGATTTATGTAGTTTTAACTTTGTTTTTTTAGAAAAGAATGAAGTTTATGATTAAAGTTATAAAATTTTTTCTGAATTTAATTTCTTATAATTATTAAAATATAATTGTTCCTATCCTAGCATTTAAGATACCTAAACATTCAGCCAGGTGATAATTTTTCTTTTTAAATCTGTTGTTTATATTGTTAAGATTAATATTGTTAATGTTGTTATTATTGCAGCGTTTTCGGACCTGGTGTAAACTTCTTTTGGTGTAAATTCTATGAGTTACATATCACCGTTCTCCTAAATGAGCAGTAAGTGTCAACTCAAATTCCAAAGAAACCACAATATGCCTGTGAAAGCTTATGACTCCTGGATTCCAAAAATATAAAAAATCAAATCATCCTATTACGTCCGAGAAAGAAAATCACTTTTGAAAAATATTTATTTTGCACATATTCATGAAATGACAGCATTCTCGAAATTTTACATTTTTACAGCATATCTTAACATTTAAACTCTTTGAAAATAGTAAAAAATATGAAAATGTGAAAGATTTTATGTTATAAAATTGGTAGTAATCCAAATAGGTAAAAGATCACTTGGGTAAAATATTGCTTTTCTGAAAGTTTTTTCTAACAAGATAACTTTAGAATAATTTCAATAATAGTTTGGTAGTAATCCAAATAGGTAAAAGATCATGTGGGTAAATACAAAAGAAGTAAATTCCACATTTAAAGCAACAACAAAAAAAATTCTTTACAAATTCCAAACTGTTCAAAGACTTTTGCTGTTAAAATCAACTAGGCACATTTCTAGCCTTTAGATTCCAAGAGGAGACCTTGTTTTTTGGATGAAGTCCTTAACATGGAAAAACACTGCATGTACTTTTGGAGTGATGCTTCCTCTTGGCAATGCCAAATATGAATCTCTGAATGAATCAATTTTTTCTGCATAAGTGCAATCCAACTTGTTGCCAAAACATGCAGAAACAATGGGACCAAACTTTCGAAAGCTGTCAATGATGCTGAAAACTTGAAAGGCACTGTCAGCTTGTGGCAATCATTCCCAGCAAATTGACCACCATGAAAAGGTTGGGGCTGAATGTGCAAAGCTTGGAGCCATTCAACTGATTTGGACCAAAGGTCTGTTAAAATCTTGAACAGATGTTTAACAACCCCAAGCAGTAGATGAAGCTCCATTGGTGGAATGAGATCAAGCACAATTGCATCATCATAAAGTGAGAGAATAGGGTCATGAATCACGTTTCCAAACAATTTTGCTTTATTGATGTCGGATCCAGCTGGTGTGTAGGTTTAGTGTGCTTGCTTCAAAAATCTAAAAGTCCTCAGAGTACCCCGGTTTGCAAGGTTAGAGCTTTCCACAGTGCACCATGTGCATGGATGAGCTGAAGCATGTGATTGCAATCCACAAATTATATTTGCCAACTTCATATCACACGAGACAACAAATTTGATTTCACTGATTGAAATGAGAGAGAGAATGAGCTTTACATTGAAGTAATTTTCTTGAACTCCTTCAGCAACTGCAACCAGAAGTTGCTGTTTTACTCTAGAATCCTTGGACATTGAAGATGTCAGAAATCTTTTGTTTGGCAGAGACACAGCTTCACTATCAGCTTCATTTTGTAGAACTCCAAGAACTCCAAGGCAGACTTTAAGAAAACCTCCACCACCATCTATTCCAAGTTTAATGATGTGTTTTGAGAAAACCTTCCTTGAAAGTAGAACTTCTTCAGTGAGTGCTTGGAGATTTTTGCAACGGACAACAACACTTTGAGACTTCTTTTGATCTGAACTAATGAATGTTGTTGGGGTTTGTGCAAAGTGTTCTTATAGACTTTTTCCGAGATCCTGGAACTTGTGCAATATATTTGGTTCCAGAACTTTGGCAGACGAAACATGCCTAATGATGGAAGTCAGTTTTTTTATTCCATTGTTTGACAATCCTGTATTTAGTTGAACTTGAGCAAGATCCTTTGCGGTGACTACAGCTGGATCTTTAAACAATTGCTTAGGGCAAGAAGGACCTAAAAAAACTTTACTGAAATATTATATTTTACTCTTAAAGAGTAAAATATAATATTTCAGTTACTTAAATATGATGGTCGACCTTAATGAAGAATTATATACAAACCTTGTGTGATTGGGAGCAGTCCTCCTCCTTTTGGCTGCACAAGTCTAATGGTTCCACAAGGAGAAGATTCTTTGCTGACAATTGTTGAGCTGGCAATTTGTTCTGCCACAATTCCATCAGATTTTGCAAGCTCCCTTAAGTTTTCACGGAACTGTGATGAAGAGCAATGATGGGGTAAACCTCGACCAATAAGAGAGAGACATGTAGAACATCTTCTGTCTGATGTTTTCTCTCCAGTTTTTGTTCTTTCAAGAGGGTGTTTCTCTGTCAGTTTAAGTTGCCCTATGTCACAAATCAAGCATTCACAAGCTTGACCACGTGTGTGAATTTTTATATCAATGGTTTCAAATTGAAACAGCTTGGGCAAAACAACCTTCTGCCCTTGATCACACTTTCCAAGGGCCAGTCTACACGGATTACAAAGACCTTGAGGAATTCTTGGGTCATCAAAGTTGAACTGCTTTTTTGTTTTGAATTTTGCTGACCAAAAATGGTGTCAATTCACGATTTCCTTTTCTAAGACACATGATACAAACAATTTTTCTGTTCTCATCATGACTTCTTGCATGATTAGGCATTTTCAATTTATTTCAGGAGAAAAGGTTAAAAAATCGACCTTCAAAAACTTTGATTTGTAGTAAACTGCTTTTTCCCGGAATTTTTTTGGTAAATTCTTAAAAATATTTTTTAACTGCCTTTTCCCGGAATTTTTTGGTAAACTCTTAAAAATAATTTAAAATTACTAATAATATTCAAAAAGTGCAAATTAAAAAAAACTATTATTGAAATTATTCTAAAGTTAACTTATTAGAAAAAACTTTCAGAAAAGCAATATTTTACCCAAGTGATCTTTTACCTATTCGGATTACTACCAATTTTATAACATAAAATCTTTCACATTTTCATATTTTTTGTTTCTTTATTATGTTAAGTAGATTTTATTATTTTCAAAGAGCTTTTTTAATGTTAAGATATGCTGTAAAAATGTAAAATTTCGAGAATGCTGTCATTTCATGAATATGTGCAAAATAAATATTTTCAAAAGTGATTTTCTTTCTCGGACGTAATAGGATGATTTGATTTTTTATATTTTTGGAATCCATGAGTCATAAGCTTTCACAGGCATATTGTGGTTTCTTTGGAGATTGAGTTGACACTTATTGCTCATTTAGGAGAACGGTGATATATGAACGTATGAATGAGTTGTTAGATGTTCATAAACTTTATTAGGTGGGTCTTAACTAAATATAGTGTTTTTTACGAGCCTACCCTAATCTAAATAGTAATATTAGCAAAGATTATATACTATATTATAACTAATATTTCGGCATAACTTGAAGCAAAATACGCAATAGGAATGCTTCAAATTATGCCAAAATATCAGTTTTTTATATTCCGATATGTAGGTAACTCTCCTAGCGACGCTCATAGCAACGGCTAATTGAAGTTAGTAAAAATTGATTTTTTACCACATCTTACAAACTCCATGAATTGGGTATTTCAATATGTAATGCGGCATTACATAATATAAAGCATATTTTGCTTTAAGATTTTTTTCTTCAATCTGCAGAACCCAGTTTAATAGCATTCGCTATAATTCCTCTTGGTTATAATCCTAATAAGCAAGTTCCTTTTAAACTATGTCATTTTCACATAGAAAAGCTAACAACAAAGAAGCAGCTATTAGTTTGAGTGCTTAGAGTTTTTGAAATGTGTTTTAAAAAATTAATGTTTACTTACTTCATTTAGCCGTTGCTATGAGCGTCGCTAGGAGAGTTACCAAAATTTCCCTACTAAAATAATCTTTTAGATTCTACAATAAATATTGCGAAACAAAACAAGATTTTGCTTAAAATCGAAACCGAAACCGAAAAGTTAATTATTGTTTATCCTCCTGTGGCCATGAAATGACCCATATCTGGCAACCCTACCCCTCACCCACAAAGCAAAGCAAAAACAAACGAACAAGAAAATAAATAAAAAATTAAATTAGAAAAAAAGACTAAATAAAATTTAGTTAAGGGCGTAATACTTAATTTTTAACCAATTAAATTAGGTTTTTTAATTCTTAATAATGTATGTTGTACCTAATTCCTGATATTGACAAAATCATCAATACTGTAATAATATTGTAATATTCAATATTACAATATTACCGAAATATTATTGCGTTATGTCAATATTATATTGGCATTAATATAGTAATCTCCACTCAACAAAGTTGTAATGTTGGCAATATCATTAATGTCAATAATATTGTAATTTATATGCATAATATAAATTATAATTTCTACACTCAGAGTATTAATAATTGTGACACACTGCGAGTGTAGAAATTTAACACCCATCACTCATTGTCTCTCTTTGGCTAATAAAATTTTTAACTGGTTTTTGGGGATGCATGCATCTGATATCAAGTTTACTTAATTCTTCAGTAACCTCCACTCACCAAAGTTTTTTTTTTAAAAATGTGCAATATCCATTATATTAATGAATAAAATAAATCTCTTTATTATTTTAGTTTTTTAAAAATATTATCAAATACTTTAGTAATTCTATCAATACTTGTTTTTTGATAGCTTATTGAAAATAAGTTACAATAAGATAAAACAATAATATTGTTCTTAGATTATAGAAATAAAATAATAATACATTTCTTTTACCAGAAACTGTTCTACCACCTAAGTATAACTATTTCTAATTGTGTTTAATTTTATCTTTTAAAAATTGATTAGAACAGATTCCATTTATCTTGACTTCACAATAGGAGTCTACTCTAAATTAACATACAAAATCCAGTACTTACTTATTTTAGAATTTCTTTTCATTATATTATTTTAAAAAATTACACCTATATTACCAAAAGAGATTTACCATTAATAGCAAATAATGACCTATCAGCATTAAAATCAAAGTCTTTACCATGATAATAATTTTTTAGGTTTTTAAAGTAAGCTGCACTGCCATTGGTAAAGTTCTTTACACAAAAGTTTCTTTGATAAATTTGGTTATATCTTTTTAAATTGTGTTAACAAGTTTTGTGCCAGGATCTACAATTCCTGAAAAGTAACAAAAAAATTTTAATCAGAACTTTTTTAAATATATAGAAAAGTCATATTAAATTTATCTAGTAGCAATAACTCTAACAATACTTTTATATAATCAGTACCCTCCCATTACTTAAGTGGTACATCTTTTTGCTCATGATTTAATAAACTCCCCAAACATTTTTTAATGCTTGATAACCAAGTTATGAGATAAAAGGGTGCAGCACACACCCAATATTTTCAATAATTTTTAAAAAGTTTGTTCCACTTAATTGAATTTATAAAAATTTCTTTATTTTGATGTTTGAATTATTAGATACATACTTTACATGTATGTATCTGATGTACAAAACCCTATTTCACCAAAAACATTTTATTTAATTAGTGAATAAATTATATGAAAGTGAGTTTTAAAGATTGATGACAGGAAAATTTAATTAGTATTAAGAAAAACCAGCATGTTTATAATTATTACTAATTAATCTTAAAGAATTGCATAATGCAGTTCATTATAATTTTCAAATCAAAACGTCAAGATGGTTTTGTCAAAGTTTGCATGCTGAAACCTAAGTAATGCATTACAACTAATGCATCAGGTACTCACATTGCATGTATGCAATGCATTTGCAGTTCTATGTTACATACTCACTCAACCTTCAGTGTTTTAATAAAGCTATTTATATTCCTACTTTTGAAAAATCATGTTGTGCTTTAAAAAAATCCAACACAATCAGGGATAAATAAGTACACACAAGATGTTTACTTGTAACACTTCTATTTTTTCAAAGTTGTTATCAGTTAGTCTGCAGTGCAAATAAAAACGATTCATATAAGTACATAGTCTTTATAAGATTATTTAAACATTTATACCAAAGGTAAAACTTGCGACTCACAAGCCTTATGTGGTTCTTTTAATGTTGAGATGCAGCTCTTTAGCTCCATGCACTAGTATTAATATAATATTAAAATAATGATATTGGTAGCTCTTTAAAAACTGAGAAACTTAGTAAAATGTAACTTTTGGCTCTTGTATCACAAAAGTTTGTCGACACCTGGTTTATACAATTTGTTAAATGCTTTTTTGTAAGATGTAATTTTGTGAACCCTTTAACCTTTTTTTTTTTGTTTAGAGTAAGTTTGTTGTTATAAACTGGAAATATGTTTATAAGTTAAAGTTTTTTTCTATAAATTTTAATGATTTTGCTGGTGTAATTAATGAACTTTTGCTAATGTAATTAATGAACAGCCCCATACTACATACATACACAAATCTACTTGCATATAAAACTATATACTATAAACTTAGATAAGATAATTTTCAATAAAAGAATTTATGGCTACACAATATCTTTCCAATTTTATTTTGTATAGTTTACATTTTTTATGTGAATTACAATTTAGACTTTTTATATGTATATTTTATTTTTAAGTATATGTAAAGTAACACACACACACTCACGCACACACACACACACACACACACACACACACACACACACACACACACACACACACACACACGCACACAAACACACACACACACACACATATATATATATATTTATATATTATATATATGTATATTATGTATATATATATATATAATATATATATATATATATATATTTATATATATATATATATATATATATATATATATATATATATATATATATATATATATATATATATATATATATATATATATATATATATATATATTAATATATATATATATGTGTGTGTGTGTACATATATATGTATATATATCTGTGTGTATATATATGTGTGTATATATATATATATATAACTGCATTTATATAATATTATATTGTTAGAGGCCATTACAAGTGTTGGCGATGGGGCAGTAAAACTAGTTGAAGGAATAATTAATGGTAAATGGCAAGATATGATTGTTGGTGCTCTTGGTGTGGTTGGTGGTTTAGCTTCGTTAGCAGGTCCGGTTGGTGCTGTCCTCTCATCTATTTTGAGTGTGTTCTCAATGTTGTTTGGATTGTTTGCAGAAGAAAAAAGTAAATATTAAAAACTTGCTTTAAATTTTAAATAAAATGTATTATGTTTGTTATGAGCATAATGTAAAGCTGTTTTATTTAGACGCTCCAGACCTTATGAATTTCGAAGTACTTCAATATGAAAGATAACTATCAATAAATTAAAAGTTTAAAAAAAAAAAAACAGTTATATGAAATAGTTTCCTTTTAAACTAATTTTCAATAAATGAGACCAAAACCATTTGGTAATTTATATAAAATAAAAGTAATAAAGGTATTAAATTTGATTAAGATTTTATAAGACTAATGAAACAAAAAAACACCGCATGTGTTTTTTTTTTTTTTCTTTAGTTTTACATATTTACATTTCTAAATAAAATAAAGTAAGCAAAAGTATAATAACTCTTTCATTTTTATTGATTTAAATGTTGTCACTTTTTATATGAACTAAAATATTATTAATTTTTATTGTTTTGTCCACTAAAATCAAATAAAATTTTAATTAAATTTTTTTTAATGCTTGGTTTCAATCAAAATTCTTTTTTAAGTGTTTTTTAAACATTATTGATGTTTAGCAATGTTTATTGTTAAAACCTTTTGTATATAGTTTTCTTTTTAAAATTAAATTAAATCTTGTTTATATTTGGCACCTCATTACATTTTTTTAGACAAAAGTAACTTACATTTTTACAGATTTAATTTTTTTTTTTAAATTAGAACTAGTAATTTTGGTTTTATCATGATTGGGGAGTTAATCAGAAAATAGTGAGAATGAGAAATTTTTTTTTTGTTATGTTCAAACTGGTAAATAATTTATGTACAACATCGTTGTGAATTTTTTATACACTTAAGCTTACGAAGTCATTGGATGGCATGTTGATGCATTTGATTGGTTGATTTGAACACAGAAACCATATTATTATACATAGTGAATTTACAGAAGTGCAAATTTAATCCAACCTAAATTTAATCAAAGTTGCTACATTGTCAAATGCATTTTTCTAGTTTTGAGCAGGTTATTGTTGCCTAACTTCTAATTTTTTCTTTGTTAGATAGTTTAAATATATCAGGCATTAACATTTTCCATAATTCTGAAAAATTTCTTTAAGTTTTTGGAAATTTAAAGCTTCTGAAGGTTTTTTGCATTTAGTTTGTGATAAAATTTATAAAACTTTAAAAAGTGCAACATTTGCATAAAAACAAGTAATATAAATGTAAAAATATGTAATATATGTAAGTCAACTAGTTCACTCAATGCTAGGATTCCAGAATTTCATGTTACCATAGTTCAGGTTTAATTTTTTAAAAATTCCAGTTTTTTAATAAATTTAACTAACTTCTTGCAGGAAATATTTTTCAGGATGTTCATTAAGTTAAAAATTTATCTTTAGATTAAGAAAACTTTAGGGTTTTTCAAAATTTTGATATTTTTATCAGCAGAATATACAAAAAATATTAGTTTGATATTTTTTAATTTTGTTTCATCATTTTTGTTTTATTTTGTTTCGTTTTTTTTATCGTAGTATATGTAATGCTGCATGCTAGACTCAGCCTGTATATAAATATCTAGCATTCTAGAAAATGGCTATTTTAGTATAATTTTGTTAATGATGTTTCTTGCCCTGCTAAGTACAGATTCACGACAACCTCAAATGATCCTTTAACATTACTTCTTACCATTAGTTCTTAATAGATTATGATGATCCATTGATTAGTTTGATAGATTATGAAATGATCCATTAACATTACTTTTTACCATTGGTTCTTAATAGATTATATTTCTTTACTTGCATGCTTTATCAATATTTTGTTGAACGTCTCTGATTTAACTAATATTTAAATGCTTCACATGTTTGAAGTAATTTAATAAAACTGATTTGTTTATATCAACATTCCAATTTTAAATATTTGGTTGAATGAATTCATCCATATTCAAAATTTAAATAGTTTTCATCTTTATTTTAATTAAAATGTTTTCGCTTTTTTTAAAAAGATCTTGCTTTCTTTAAAAATTAAATAATATTTCTGTTCTGACCTTTTTTGCACAACCTTTTCTGTTAGTCTAAATAGTAATGGAGGTCCACCAGTTTATTCTGCATTTGAATAAACTATTGAAGGTTCAATAATTTAATTTAAACATAGCTTTTTAATATTATTATAAATATTTGTCTAGACTATTTAAAACAAGAAACTTGAATTGTTGATCAAGGCTAGTGCATGACAGGACTCCATAGAAAAAAGACTCCTAGAAAATTTGAAAATCTTTCTTCAAAAATTTTCAAATGTTTTTTCTTAAATAAGATCTTTGTTTTTATAAGACTTTAGTTAGTGTTTCCAAATACAACTTTTGTAACAGTTTTTTGGTTATATAACAACTTTTATTACAGTTGTTTGGTCTTTGGTTGAAGTTTACAATTTTAGTTAGTGTTTCCAAATATAACAACTTTTATTACAGTTGTTTGGTCTTTGGTTGAAGTTTACAGTTTTAGTTTGTGTTTCCAAATATAACAACTTTTATAATAACAGTTGATTGGTATTTGGTTGAAGTTTACAATTTTAGTTAGTGTTTCCAAATATAACAACTTTTATAACAGTTGTTTGGTCTTTGGTTGAAGTTTACAATTTTAGTTTGTTTTTCCAAATATAACAAATTTAGTATTTTTAATTTACAGAAATAAATTTAGAATATAGTTGGAGATTTATGAGGACTTTTTATTCTTTTAAAATTTACAGAGAGTAATAGAGTAAGCGTAAAGTTCAATTTGATTTTTTTATTGGTTAAATGTCTAGAATTAGTAAAATTAGCTGTGAAAGTGAGAAATCAAAATAACTATAATTTTTAATTACTTATAGTTAAAAATTTTTAAAAGATATAATTAAAACATATTAGAAAAATAATTTTTTTCTTTTTTTTTTTTAAATTTTGTTAAAATATATTATTAGAGGCTGAAGAAAGTCAGGAATCAATGTTAAAAAGGGTAATTAATGAAGCCTTAAAGAATGCACGTGCTGAGGAGCTTAAAGCAGATGCTGAAGGTTTGAAAAAAGTGATGTTATCTATTCGTAATTCAATTAACCAATTTCGTGAATCTGGCGTAACTAAAGAGCAAGCTACTGAAATGTATACTCAAATTTTCACGGTTCGTTTTAAAACTATAAAAATTTATAAAGTATTTATAAAGTATTATTTTTTAAAATAACTTTTGCATTAAGTTTTAACAAGAAAATGCCTTACGCTGTTAATATTGTAATGTTATTTCATTAATGACTTTAATGAAAATAATTATACTTACTTTAGTTAACATTTATATCACAATAAATAAAATAAATAAGTAAATATAAAATAAATAAGTAAATATAAAAAATAATCAGCGATTAAGATTTAAAGGTATCTACAACTTTTTTTTTTATTAGAAACAAAGAATAAATGCATTTAAATAAAAACTAAAGTTGTTGTTTCACTTTTTATATTTTACTTTGTTTCTCTGAATTATTTATAATATATACTGCAATCTACACACATGATGTTTAGTTTCATGTGTGTTTAATTAGTAAGAGTTTCAGTATATGACATCATTCTATTTTTTTTTTTAAAGATATCCAAGTTTTTTTTCTCTTACAATGAGCAAATCATATTTATTTGTATAATTTTTATTTTTTTAACAATTATAAGCATAAATTTTTATAAAGATTTTTGTATTAAAAAATTAGTATATCTTACTAATAATTATCAATATAATAATTATTATTTATCCATGTAAAGATATATTTATATTGAATTTGTTTTTGTTTTCAAAGTGACAAAATTGAAAAGTTATGGGTGAAAAAAGAAAAAAGGTATATTGTAAAACTTGCATTTTGCAATTCTGGTAGTTTTTAACTTTGAATGTCAAGAGACAGGTTTTAATATGAAAGGCTTTTCAAATACAACGCATAAATTGAGAAATAATAAATCATAACATTTTATAAAAGTGCTTTGAAAATTTAAATCACCTTCTGTCTTGAATTAAAAAAACGTTTTAGTATCATGTATATAAAGTTATGTTTTTTTAAAAATGTTACAGTTGTTTCATATTACCCGTGCCAATATTTATTTCCTTTATTTCAACACAACAAAAACACTATTTTTCAGGTGGCATAGTTTTACAGCATCCGCATTTACACAATTGTTCAACACTAACACTAAATTTAACACATTTAATTTCTATGTTTTAGCCTTATCAAAACTCAAATTTTCATAGCTGATACCATCTTTAAATGTTTTGTTTTTATATCCTTACAGATTTTTTCTAAATACTAATAGTATAATGCATAATATATTTGGATTTTTTTAAAAAATGTCCTATTTTATAACTGATAACTCTGATTTTAACACATAAATTTGTTCTATTATCAGCAAGTGCAACTTTTATGATGTAATTACTCTTGTAAACCCTGTATTTATATACAAAATGGTATTTAGAATATATCCGAAACCCATCTATTTTTTGTAGCAAGTTGGTTATTTATTATTTTTTTAAAACATATAGCAAGTTATTATAAAAATTATTGAAATATGTATTAAAACATTAAATTAGTTAAATACTTATAAAGAAAATAAAAATTATTCTATCAACTAAATTTCAAAGTACAAGGCATTACTAGTTATTTAGTATCTTTATTCTCCTCTCGAATGTCTATATTTCCAAGTTACAAGTTTTGGTTGATAAAACTAAAGATGATAGCTTCTTTGAGCAGTGAGCATAATTGTATTTGTAGAAAAGAGAAAGAGATGCAATTTTAAAAAGATGGGAAAGAGGCTCAAGCTTGGCGAATATAACATGTTTACTATACATTTTTAAACCTTGTCTAGATAAGAAAGAGCATCATTAGAAGTGCCAGCCCAAATATGACAACAGTATTCCACACAGAGCCAAATAAGAGACTTGTAGACGTAGAGAAAAGAATGAGGAGTAAGAAAATGACAAGCACAATAAAGAGAAACAACTTTAGCAGTTACTTCTGTTACAGAAGTGAGATCAAATTCAAGTTGGCTGCTTGTTGTAAACAATCAAACAGAAAAGACTTTTTGTCAAAACAGGTATCAAAATAAAGTTACGTCATCAGCAAAAAGAGCCACTCCGGGGCTGTGTTAAAAAGCCTGCAGTGTTTGCATTTAATGTGTGAATTTAACCTATGCATTAAGCTATTTACATAACGCCAAAAGTTTTTTTAACGCCAGTTTTTTTAATTTTTAAACAATCTTTTGAAATAGTTTATATTTCTAATGCAGTAATTTAATTAATTAATTAATTAATTGCAGTAATTAATTGTTCACTACATTACCCATTTCTACCATAGTTGTGAAATATGAAATTTAAAATGCTCCTTTTTTTTTACTTTTGAAATTTATATGCTATGTTAAAACAATAAAAAATTTTCATCAAATTTAACTAAAGTTACTTTTTTACATTACATTCAACTATTTTGTTTATTTATTTGTTTCAAATCAATAAATTTTTTCCGTCCTGTTACAAAAGTGCTAATAACAAATGTGCTTAATACTTATAACTGTATATATAGGCATAAACCAAATAATCCATAATCAAGCTTGTACAATAATCTATGGCATGACTATGGTGTAGGTGTTAAGCTATTCTTGATATCTTTTTTTAGTAAAGAGATTTTTTTTTAGTAAACAAATTTATAAAAAAGATTATTTTTTAAATTTTGAAATTACTTTTTAACAAAAGTTTTTCCATTATTATTAAGTTCTTAGATTAATCATAGAATTAATGTCAATTAAAAATGATAAACTAAATTATGAGTAGTATGCTGAGATTTTGTTACCCAAAGTGTTAAAAAAGTTGTTAATAGTTTCATGTCTTTTTTTGACTGTTAAGAAACTGAAAAAGCAAAGATAATGTTGTGTTATGAATGTTTTAAGAAATAAATAGGAAGAATAAGTTTTTTTTTTTTTTTTTTTTTTTTTTTTTTTTTTTTTTTAAACATCTTCACTTCCAACAAGGCTGCAAGCAACCACTATAAGAGTTGGAAGTTACTGGAAGAGAAAAGACTAAATCTGTAGAGCAAGATAACGATTGACTGATGACTTAAAAGATTGCAAATTATATGAATCAGGAAAAAAAGATGAAGGAAGCGAATTCCAAAGAACTGATGTTTGAGGAAAAAAACTAGAAGAATAAGAGTTTTTGAAGCACTTAGGAACAGTCACAGAAAAAGGATGAGACTTAATTGAATGGCGAGTAACACGAGAATGAATTTTAGTAGATGGCACAAGGGACGCTAGCTCTTTAGAGCAGTGCCCATTATAGTATTTGTAGAAAAGAGAAAGAGAAGCAACATTACGGCGATGTGACAAAGGTTGGAGATTAGCTGCCAGAGCAGGTCCAACTATGTTTACAATTCGTTTTTGCACCTTGTCTAAAAGAGAAAGAGCATCATTAGAAGATCCGCCCCAGATGTGGCAACAGTATTCCATACAGGGACGGATTTGAGATTTATAGAGATAGAGAATAGAATCTGGAGTAAGAAAGTGTCGAGCTCGATAAAGAGATGCAACCTTAGCAGATGCTGATTTTGCAATGGATTTGATATACGGTTTAAAAGAAAGATCAGAAGTAAGAGTTAATCCTAGAAGATGAATGGTAGATGACTCATCTAGTACATTACCATTCATAAATATAGGAAGATCTAAATTATTACGATAACGATTGGCCGAATAAAATTGAGTTTTATCTGAATTAAAGTTCACCAGCCACTGTGAGCCCCATGCTGTAGCAGAAGTGAGATCCTTTTCAAGCTCAGATGCCCCCTCCAAGCAATCAGAGAGTGTCGGCTTCTTATCATGACAAGAGTAAATGGTAGTGTCGTCAGCGAATAATGCCACCTTAGATGTGAGAATATCTGGAAGATCGTTAATAAAAATTAAAAAGAGTATAGGGCCAAGGATTGAACCTTGAGGAACCCCTGAAGTTACAGGATGTGAAGAAGAGTGTTGTCCATCGAGGACAACTTTTATACTACGATTGGAAAGAAAGGACTCAATAATCTTAAAGACGTTACCAGCTACACCATAAGAAGAAAGCTTATGGAGAAGACCAGCATGCCAAACTTTATCAAATGCTTTAGAAATGTCAAGTGCGATAGCCTTAACCTCTCCACCTCTATCTAATGCACGGTAAAACCTATCGGTTATTACTGTTAGCACATCAGCTGTAGAACGAGAAGACCGAAATCCATATTGATGATCAGAAAGTAAGTTATTTGATTCAAGATGAGAGATTAAGTGTTTGTTGATTAAAGATTCAAAAACCTTGCTTATGACAGGAAGAAGACTAATGGGGCGGTAGTTAGATGGATCAGATCGCTCTCCGGAATTTTTGAAAATAGGGATAACAGATGCTGCTTTCCAGCATGATGGAAAACAAGACTCTGATAAGCACTTGTTAAATATTTTAGAAAGTATAGATGAAAGCTCCGGAGAACACCTCTGCAAGACTACAACAGGAATGTTGTCAGGACCACAAGCTGTTGAAGAGTCTAAGCAGGAAATTACTTTAGATACAGAAGCTGAAGTGATGCGAATGTCAAGCAAGGGATCAACCTGTTTGACGGCTATGTCAGGTAAAACGCAACTAGTGGAATCAAGAGATGATATTGATGAAAAGTTCTTTGCAAACAATTCAGCTTTGTCTTCAGGTGAGGTGACAAAGTCTGAACCATACAAGAGAGAAGGAATAACAGATTTGCCCTTATTATTGATACTGTTAAAGATTCTCCAGAAGTCTCGAGAGCCTAATTTTTGTGATGAGATACGAGATTTAATGACCTGGGAATAGCGAGCTTTGGCGTCAGACAAAACCTTTTTACAATGGTTTCTGGCGATAGTGAACAGATGTCTGTTTTCTGGAGAATTGTTTTGCTGATAGATATGGAAGTAACGGTTTCGATTAGAAATTGCTGCAGCGCAATGTGAGGAAAACCAAGGAGAAGAGTGAGGCTTGACCTGGAATCGTCGAGAGGGAATAAAAGATTCCATGCCAGCCTGAATCCACGAAGTTATGTAAGAAGCACAATTGTCAGCAGGAAGACGAAAGATTTCTACCCAAGGGCCATCACGAAGAAAATCACGGAAAGA